CACCGGGACCGGGAGCAGCCAGGACGACAGTCCGTGTGCAGGAGCATCAGGAGGACTGCGGCTCCCGGACGCCCGTGTCCAGTTCCCCTGAGGGGCGGGCGCCGGCCAGGCTCGTGCTCGGGCTGATGTCGGGGCCGTTAGGACACGCTGACCACAAACCACCTTGTGCTTCTGAACATGCGGTTCAGGGTGTTAAGTACGTCCACGTTGTTGTGCGACCAACTTCCAAAGCTTTTCATCCTGCAAAACCGTCGCCCCCGGGTCACCCTTCACCAGGAGGCTGGCCACACTGTGGGAGCTGAGCCGCTGAAATGGAACTCGGCCTGGGAGGCTGCCTGTCCGCCTGTCGGCCCGTCCGCCCGCCCCAGCGACTGTGCTGACCACCTCTCGCTTGTGAAGTTTGCTGCTGGTGCAGGGCTGAGGGGGAGAGCAGGAGGCCAGTCCAGATCTTGGTTTCCTCAGCAGTAATAGGAGGGTTGGGTTGGATCCATGGTTGGCAAACTGTGGCTCCCGAGCCACATGTGGCTCTTTTGCCCCATGAGTGTCGGCTCTTCCACAGAATACCAGGGCCTGGGCGAGTCTATTTTGAAGAAGTGGCGTTAGAAGAAATTTAGGTTTAAAAAATTCCAATCGTTATGCTGTTGGTATTTGGCTCTGTTGACTAATGAGTTTGCCGACCACTGGGTTAGATCATCCACCTAAACTCCTTCTGTTGGCCACACAGAGTAGGGGCCATCTGATTCCCCACGAGTGAGCTCTGATGGGCGTCTCTGCTGATCCCACAGCACACGCCCCGAGGCCCGGCAAGGGAGGGCTCCGATGGCGGCGTGGGCCAGGCTGCCGGGACTCGGGCCACACCCCACTCAGTGGCCACGTTCTTTGGGCAAGTGGCTTCACTTCTCATGCCTCAGCGTCCTCGTGTGTAAAACGGGCAGTAAAAGCCCCTCAGAGGCCACAGGGCCGCACAGCGATCCATGGGCCACTCTTTTCTCGCTCCTCGCTCTCAGAGGAAATGCCTCATAGCGAGTGGCACTGAGCATGTGAGGGTTAAAAAGTGTCAGTTAAAGCTAAACGATCATAGGAGAAACCAAGATGGCGGCATAGGGTAGACACCTGAATGCAGCCTACCACAACAGATTTGAATTTAGAACTGGAAAACAGGGGAAACATCACCCTGAAGCACCGGACAGCTGGCTGAGAGGAGGCTGGGAAGGAGAGAGAAGGCACGCTGAGCCTCAGGAACTGTGAAGGTGCAGAGAACTGCGCACACGGCCGCAGAGTTTGCTGCCGGCTTGCTTGCGGAGCTCAGAGAGAGCGGGCCAAGTTCACTGCTGGCTTACTCCCTGTGCGCGGAGAGGGCAGACAGCTAATGCACAGCTGGCTTTCTTGTTCAGAAGGAAAACAGAACCACCCTATTGCTCTGATAGACGGCCCCAGACAGGGAGAGGCCAGACCGTCAGGCAGTGGGCAGAGATCTCTCAGAGGTGTGTGTGAAGCCAGCGGCCATTACTGCGGGACTCAGAAACCAGACCCTCATAGGGAGGGGCTGACCAAAGCTTGTCTACACCACCCGAGACTCCGCCCCATCCAGCCGGAGCACAGAAGCCCTTCCAGTGGCTAGCATTCTCGTTCACCAGGAATAGGACTCTCCTAGGGAGGGGCAGATAGGAATCTAAAGCTTGTCTGCGCCGATTCCAAAGAGGTGCGCGCACCTGCAACCAATCTTACAGGATTCTCCAAAGCTTGGCTGTGCCACCCCGAGACTTCGCCCCATCCAAGTGGAATACAGAAACCCTCCGAGCTGAGACACTCCTGATCCTCATAGCCAATTGTCTTGGAGATCAACACTTCCCAGTGATACCAACAACAAGCAAGGCTTAACAACAAGACTGCACACACAGCCCACAAAGGGCTACACCAAGACTGTCCACGTCAGGTAACTGGGAGGCTGACCCACTGAACCATATAGGACACCTTAGCTCACAAAGCCACCCTACCAACTCAGGGAAGCTGTGAAAATGCCAAGAAAAGGAAACAGATCACAAACAAAAGAAATGGAGGGAAAGAAGCGACTGGATATAGTTCAAAACCACGCTTATAAGGTTTTTCAAGAATTTCCTAGAAAAGGTTGATAAGACCTACGAGGCTATGAAAAGGGATCAACAAGAAATAAAGAATACATTGTCTGAAATAAAAAATATTATACAGAGTCCTAAAAACAGAATGGAAGATCGCAAGAATCAAGTCAAAGATTTGGAACACAAAGAGCCAGAGGACACTCCTCCACAGAAGCAAGAAGATAAGAGAATCCAGAAAGTTGAAGATAATGTAAGAAACCTCTGGGACAACTTCAAGCGAACCAACATCAGAATTATGGGGTCCTAGAAGATGAGAGGGAGCAAGATACCAAAAGAATAATGAAAGAAATAGTGACAGAAAACTTTCCCCACCTCGGGAAAGAAATAGACTTACAAGTTCAGAAGGTACAGAATCTCAAACAAAAGGAATCCAAAGAGGACCACACCAAGACACATCATAATTAAAATGCCAAGAGCAAAAGACAAAGAGAGAATATTAAAAGCAGCAAGAGAAAAGCAGGTAGTTACCTATAAAGGAGCACCCCTATGATTGTCAGCTGATTTCTCAACAGAAACCATGCAGGCCAGACGGGAATGGCAAGAAATATTCAAGGTGATGAATAGCAAGAACCTACAGCCAAAAATACTCTACCCAGCAAAGCTATCACTCAGAATCGAAGGCCAGATAAAGAGCTTCACTAATAAAAAAAAAGCTAAAGGAGTTCATCACCTCCAAACCAGAATTATGTGAATTGCTGAATTATGTGAAAGGGGTTCTTTAGGAAGAGGAAGAAGATAAAGATAAAAATTATAATCAACAAATACGTTACTATCAACAAGTGAAACTAAAAGCCAAGGGAATTAAAAAACCTGATGAACAATATTACTGGTGAATATAATAGAATCAGAGGTATGGAAGGGGAGTGAACTGACGATTCTTGGGGAAAAGGAGAGTGGGGGGTGTGGGAAGAGACTGAACATAAACTGCACCTATGGATGAGGACAATGGGGGGTGGGGAAAGGGCAGAGGGTGGGATGGGAACCTGGTGGAGGGGAGCAATGGAGGGGGGAAAAACGAGGAACATTTGTAATAATATGAACAATAACATTTATAAAAAATTTTTAAAAAAATTTTTAAAGCTAAACGATCACAAATGTGCCTCATAAAATAAACGAGCAGGAACGGAGGTACTCAGGGTTGTCTGTGGGGACCGGGACATGGCTCCGTGGGGCTGGTCATAGGCAAGCTCCTGCCGCAGCTTAACTTTCATTAAACGCACGGGAGCTGCTCAGAGCCTTACAGGGTGCGATCGCCTTGACCTCTGCTTAGGAGAGGTAGCCTGTGTTTTTAACTTGATAATAAATGTCTATTTTTGTTAAAAAATAAGAATAAAATGAAAACCCACGGGCAGGCAGAATGCGGTAGGTGGCGGTTCTCCGCAGGGCGTGGCGTGTGGACACAGCTCAGCACGCGTTAGCTCACTGGGCCTGGGGGTCACGTGCACGTATCGAGGGCCTGGGTGGTAGTCAGCAAGGTGCCCGGTGTGGGCCCTGCCCGGTGCGGCCGGAGGCCGTGGGGACTGGACGCCTCAGCATCTGTCCGGAGTCACGTCTGGGCCGAGGTGTGAGCCGGGTCTTGTCCAGCCGCGAAGGCACGGTGTGCTGCTTCCCGGCGCTCACTCCCAGGGGCCCCGGCACCTGGTCCAAGCCCCGGCAGGTGGCTTTCCGTTTGGGACGCAACGGGTACAGGGTGCCCGACGCTCCGATGAGGGCAGCGCGTGTGCTGAGCAAGCAAACAGCAGCTTAAAATCCCCGTGGCCGAGCCGAGCCGTGGACAGCACCGCCCTCTCTCTGGAGAACCTCTCTGAGTGCAGCCGTGCGTCCGCTCTCTCTTCTCCCCCCTCACCGCCCCCCGGGAGCCGCTCTGCCCGGCTCAGGGCCAGGGAGCCTCTGACTGGCCTGCAGCAGCGTGCCCAGCGGGTGCCCAGCGGGGTGCCTCCCTCCCGCTGCCCGGCCTGGCTCCCTGCACCGGGCGCTGATGGCACTGATTGTTGGTGCCTTGCATCTCCAGCGCACGTTTCTTTTTCCTTTTTAAGATCGTGAGCGTGGAGCAGGGTTTTGTGCATTCAGCGGGCTCGTGGTGTTTCCAGGAGGGTTTGCCAGGGCAGTTTATGGGGATGAGTCTGCACTGAGGCACGGGAAAACGAGGTGGGCACAGGGGCAGCTGGAGGCGCAGGTGGTGGGAAGCGGTGAGGCTGGCCGGCTGGGGCCGCGGGTGGAAGCCGCTCTCGGGCCTCAGCATCCTGGTGGTGACATCGTGCAGGGGCGGTGACCTTGGGAAGGACGGTGCAGGGTGAGCTCGGGAGCCGCCATCGGCTTCTGATTATTCTGAATTCTCTGCCGTGGGCCTATGCCAGCTGCTGGTTCTGCGGGGGTTTTGTTAATAGTCTGTGAAGGGGCGACTCCTCCTGAGGTGACATTGGCATGTGACGCTGTGCGGGTTTACGTCCAATCACGAGCATCACGCACAGCCAGTGCCCACTGTCAGTCGTGCCAACTCCTGCCGAGGCGGGCGATGGGCCCCTGGCGCTCGGAGTCCCGAGGGGCACGGAGTCCCCGGTGCTTGCTTCCTGCTGGCGGAGGCAGAGCAGCAGTAGCGGGCGCGGGTCCGGGGCTCCCTCCTCCCGGTTTGGCTGTGACGCGGGCCCGCTCAGGACTCTGACGTTTCCTCGTGGACGGACACCAGACCCAGAGCCTCTCACAGCGCCGTGCTCCCCACCGCGACGTTCCCCCGCCGCGCCGCGCCGCGCCCTGTGCCCGGCCGCTGTGCCTTCAGCACACGCCAGCAGGTGCTCCTCCCGCCCCTTCCTCCCCACCCCACAGAGCTGGGAGCACCCCCTGACCTCGGCCGTTGTCGTGCAGGTGTTAAGCCCCACTTACAAGCAGAGAAATGAAGACTTCAGAAAGCTCTTTAAGCAGCTTCCAGACTCGGAGCGCCTCATTGTGGGTGAGCGGGTGACTGGTGGGGGAGGGAGGGGGACGTGCAGGAAGTCTGGTAGCTCTGGGACTTCACACGGGCGGCTTCTGTCGAGAGATTTCCCACGTCAGAGCCAACTGCAGGGAGAAAGTCTGCCTGGGAACGGGGAGAGGCTGCCCAGAGCACGGGCCCCATCGGCTCTGGCGGGGCCCGGCGAGTGTGCCTCAGAGAGAGCTGGCCTGGGAGTCCCCCCTCGCCTCCGCAGATGGGCGGGCGGCGGGCGGCGAAGGGGGTGATGGTGGGTGGGAGGGGGCATCAGTGACTACAGGCCCCTCTGCCGCCTCCCGTCAGCCCTCCCTCTGCGGCGGGCGGTGGTGTTTCCCGTCGTCCTTCGTCTGCCCGAGGACGCGATGCCAGGGACTCCTTGGCACTGGGTCACGCCTAGTCCGCGGTAGGCAGGTGGGGGTGAGGAGCGCAGGCATGCCGGCTCCCGCTGGTTGTATGTGGTGCTCCCGCCTCTGAGCCCCGCCCTCCCCCCCACAGATTACTCCTGTGCGCTCCAAAGAGACATCCTCCTTCAGGGCCGACTCTACCTCTCCGAAAACTGGATCTGCTTCTACAGCAACATCTTCCGCTGGGAGACGCTGGTAAGGAGCGGCCTGCTCCCGGGCGGCCCTCCTGCCTCGGAGAGGGCTGAGAGGATTTGCCAAAAGCAGATATTGGGCCATCATCCTTGCAATGGCAGACAATGGAGTAAAAGGAGCTTTGGCCTCGGACCCAGACTGGCTTACGCTCTTTCTGGATTCCGCTCCTGATTAGCTGGCGGCTCTAAGCAAGCCCTCCATCCTTCCTCTGCCTCCCCCCCTCACCTTGTAAAGTAAAATGGAAAAAGGTCAACTGGCTCAGTGGTCGGCAGACTCATTAGCCAACAGAGCCAAATGTCAACAGCACACCGATTGAAATTTCTTTGGAGAGCCAAAGTTTTAAAACTTAAACTTCTTCTAACACCACTTCTTCAAAACACCAGAACACAGCCCAGGCTGTGGTGTTTTGTGGAAGAGCCACACTCAAGGGGCCAAAGAGCCGCAGTTTTCCGACCACGGAACTAGCTGACTTGTATGGTCTCCGTGGTGTCACCGCCCTGGGGCTGAGTGGCACCGTGCTGGCACCGGCACACGTGCCAGACGGTGAGCAGAGGGGAGCTCCCTGGACCGAGAGCCAGGCCCCTCGGGCTCTGGGCAAGACGCGGCCCCACCTCGCTGCTCGGCTTCTGTGGACACAGGGGCAACACCAGATGACCTCTTAGGAGGGTCGGGAGCGGGAAGAAGAAGGGTCAGGAAGACGGAGGGTCGGGAGGGGTGGACGGGGGGTTGGGAGCCGTGGATGGGGGGTCGGGAGGGGGTGGATGGAGGGTCGGGAGCGGTAGACAGGAGGTCGGGAGGGGGTGGACGGGGGGTCGGGAGGGGGTGGACGGAAGCTCAGGAGGGGGTGGACGGAGGGTCGGGAGGGGGTGGACGGAAGCTCAGGAGGGGGTGGACAGAGGGTCGGGAGGGGGTGGACGGAGGGTCGGGAGCGGTGGACGGGGGGTTGGGAGGGGGTAGATGGAGGGTCAGGAGCAGTAGACGGGTGGTCAGAAGAGGGGTAGACGGAGGGTCAGGAGGGGGGTAGACGGAGGGTCGGGAGGGGGTGGATGGAGGGTCCGGAGAGGTGGACAGAGGGACAGGAGAGGTGGACGGAGGGACGGGAGCGGTGGACGGAGGGACGGGAGCAGTGGACGGAGGGACGGGAGCAGTGGACGGAGAGTCGGGAGGGGGTGAACGGAGGGTTGGGAGCGGGGTAGACGGGGGGTTGGGAGGGAGTGGACGGAGGGTCGGTAGTGGTAGACGGAGGGATGGGAGCGGTAGATGGGGGATTGGGAGGGGTCAGGAGCAGTAGACAGGGGGTCGGGAGTGGTGGACGGAGGCTCAGGAGGGGGTGGACGGAGGGTCTGGAGGGGGTGGACAGAGGGTCGGGAGCGGGGTAGAGGAGGCCCAGGAGCAGTGGATGGGGGGAGGGTCGGGAGGGGGTGGACGGAGGGACAGGAGCAGGAGACGGATCGTTTCTCCGGTCTGCACTGGTGCCGGTGAACACCCTCTGGCTGTCTAACGCCCCTCTGCTTGCCATCCGTTGTCTGTCCGTGTGGGAATGCCAGCTGACTGTCCGTTTGAAAGACATCTGCTCCATGACGAAGGAAAAGACAGCTCGCCTCATCCCCAACGCCATCCAAGTTTGCACAGACTCAGAAAAGGTAAGTGGGGCTTCACCTTGGACTTGACCCCCCCTCCCCTCCACCCCAGCCCCCCAGCGTCTGTATGTCTGTCCTTCCGCTGCACTGTGGGGAGGCTGCAGGGTTGGGGTGTGAGACCGGAGAGTGGAGCAGATTGCAGAACTGCCTCCCTGGGGTGGGGGGGGGGGGCCTTTTGGGAGGCTGAGGAAGGGGGCCAGAACACTGGCCTCAGAGCCAGGAAGCCTGCATTTGAGATGTAACCCTCTAGGCTTGGTGTTCTCAGTATAAATGGGGTCGGCCGGACCATTTTAGATACAGAGTCCCGAAAGGGCATCACCCATTTGAAAACACTAACCTGCAAAGCGTAATGCAGATGCGAGTGCTGTCATTGTGTCAGCAGAGCGCACGGAGAGGGGCGAGGAGTCGGTGGGGATGAGCTGTCGCTATGGGTTGGGGAATGTGGGAGATAAAGCTTAGGGCAGGGAGGTCCTGGGATTGACTCCTGCCCTCGGGGTGGGTGTGGGCTCGGGTCCTGCCCAGCACGAAGCTGCCTGTGCCCTTGGACCCGGGCAGCTCCGTGGCAGGAACGTCGGGGTCGGTAGTTGTTGGTGTGAATTCTATTCCTGGCATGAGTCAGCCTGGCGATGATGCGGTCACCCAGCTTCACAGCGGTTTCGCTGTTAGGTGCCGCGCCCCGGTGCACAGATTCGTGCAGTGAAAGGAAATTCGTTAGAAGGTGGCTGGCAGGGCAGGACTGGGTGAGAAGGGCGGGACACAGCCTGGAGCCAACCCCCCACAGCCCCTCCCCGGCCACAGCTCGAAGGGAGTCTGCGGAATGAGGGGGTCCCTCGGCCTAGCCTGTGGGGTCAGGCTGAAACCAGCTCTCCGACATCCCCCAAGGGGTCCCAGATTGTGAGAGGGCAGTTCTCGGGTGACGGACCCCAGAACTGAGCCCCCTCCTCACTGGTTCTGGTGCATCGCCCAAGAAACACCGCTGCCAACTCAGCACAGCTCGGCAGCTCCTGCGTGAGCGTCTGGCCCCCAGTGGTCAGTGCGCATCATAGCTAGCGGTCAGATGGTTCCTTAGCCTTTTATATATAGAGAGACTAGCACTCTGTCTATTTCCCAAGGCTTTTGTATAGTGTAAATAAAGCAACATCTGTGAGGCACCTAGAAGGTGTTCAGACAAACCTGGTTCTGTCTGGCTTCCTGCACGTTACAGAGGGTCCCGCCGATGTATAAGCTCCGTGAGAGAAGGGGTCTCCTCCCGTTTTGTTTGCATATGGGATGGTGCCGAGCACACCCTGGCCCTCAGTGCCCTGTTCATTCACTGAACAAAAGGGGGAGGGATTGTCTTCTCTCCCCTTTAGGCTGGGTCACAGCCCCCCTCACCCAGCTCCAGCTGCTGAGGGAAGCAAGTTCTCCCTGGAGATGAGAGCTTCGAATAGGCAGGGGGAGCGGGTGACCGGAGGCCTCGGTGATGGTGGGGCCGGTCCCAGGCACCCGGTGCTGCGTGTCACAGAGCATCCTGCCGGGATCGCGGGCCTGAGGCCATCGTGGAGGCTGGAATGGTGGCTCTGTGACCAGGAAGGAGCGGCCTGTCCGTCCCTGTTGTGCTGTCGGTCTGAGCTGACACGCGCTGACACGCCTGCCGTTCTCTCTCCCATCAGCACTTTTTCACCTCGTTCGGGGCCCGGGACAGGACGTACATGATGATGTTCCGGCTGTGGCAGAACGCACTCCTCGAGAAGGTGAGCCTGCCCAGCTCCGCCAAGCCGAGGAGGAGCCGGTCCCACCAGCATGTCCCTCCCCCTCCATGTGGGTCCGACCAGCATCTCCTTCCCCCTCTGCATGGGTCCCACCAGCATGTCCTTCCCCTCCATGTGGGTCCAACCAGCATGTCCCTCCCCTCCGCGTGGGTCCGACCAGCATGTCCTTCCCCTTTGCGTGGGTCCAACCAGCATGTCCTTCCCCTCCGCGTGGGTCCGACCGGCATGTCCCTCCCCTCCACGTGGGTCCGACCAGCATGTCCTTCCCCTCCATGTGGGTCCGACCAGCATGTCCTTCCCCTCCATATGGGTCCGACCAGCATGTCCCTCCCCCTCCACGTGGGTCCGACCAGCTTGTCCTTCCCCCTCCTCGTGAGTCCGACCTGCATGCCCTTCCCCTCCGCGTGGGCCCTATGGAGGCTGCTCCTCACTGGGTGCTGGCAGCTCTGGAGGCCCGGTCTCCCTGTGGCCCAGGAAATCCTCCAGACGTTCTCACAGGTGGAGTCTCCTGAGTCCGGGAAGCCACCCCCCTGTTCTAGCCCACCGCTGCCTGGCCAGGGCCCTTCAGCACCTCCAGCCCCTGTTTGAGCGTGCCAGCATTTTTTCGTGTTGGTGTGATAGGCACAGGCACGTGGAGTGACTCTGCGAGTGTTCTACTTACTAGTACACGTCTGCCCGAAGCAGGAGCACGCCAGGCCACGCAGGGCCACCGGGAAAGCGCAGGGTGGGGGTGGGAGGCTGAGCCTGGGAGCGTGGGCAGAGCCTGTGAGGTTTTCCCAGGAAGGAGTGGGTGAGGCTCGGGCTGGGCAAGCCAAGCACACCTAGGACTGGCTAGTCTGAACAACTGAGTAGGGCTCAGCGTGTAGAGACTGCCGCTAGCTGCCTGGTGCGTGTCCCGGGGTAACGAGGGCAGGAAGCATAGGTGCTGAGCATGAGCTAGATAAAGAAGTTGGTGGGGGTGCGGGCTCTGTATTGGCTTGTTACACATGGAGGGTGTGCTCTTAGGCAAGTTTTCTAGCTCCAGGAATTAGCTGGCCCTGGGGGGGCAGGTGCTCCCGTCAGCAAGGCCTCAGACGCCAGAGCATCAAAAATACAGAAACAAGCGAAATAGGTAATGCAGCACAGTTGACTACTCAAGTGTTCGGAGGACACAGCGGAGACACATGGGTGAAGGAGATGTCATGGTTGCAGCCCTTCGAGAACTCCCCTAGAGGTGTCGTGAGGTGCTAAGAAACGGCCTCCAAGCCAGAGAAGGAGATATGAGAAAAATCATGAATTACAATTATACTAGAGGCCCAGTGCACGGAATTCATGCGTGGTGGGGAGTCCCCTCAACCCAGCCTGCACCCTCTCCAATCCCAGATTGCTGGCTCCTAACTGCCCCCGCCCCCCGCCCCCCCCCCCCCCCCGCCAGCCTGGTCACCCCTAACTGCCTCCTCCCATTGGCCTGGTCACCCCTTACTGCCCCCCCCCCCCGGCCTGATCGCCCCCAACTGCTCCCCCTGCGAGCTTGCTCCATGCAGCCTGCTGTTTGGTCATCCAGTTGTTTCGGTCGTGACGGCCCCTGGCTTTTTATATATTAGGATTATCTGTGGCATAAGTAAATATGTGAATGTATCCTCCTTGTCGGTAGCCCAAACTTACTACTGTCTAAAGAATATTAAGTAGATATATTATGTAGAGTTTGCTCCAACCCAGAAGTCTATACAACCCTGTATAAATCCTGGTACTTATTTGGTCTGAGATCTCTGCCTTCATTAGCCATCAGTAACGGTAAAGCAATAACGTGTTTGAGTCTCCACGGACAGGTTGGAATTTTCCGTTCACAATCACTGTCACTTCTACATGAGACAGGTCATCCATGCAGCTCACTAAAGTCCTACCCAATGACTAAGCCTTCTGCCTCACGAACAGGGTCTCCCCGTGACACTTGTCCTGATAGTGGCAGACAAGCTGAGCTGTGGAGCTGGTCAGGGAAGGCTGCATGGAGGAGGCGGATTGTTAAGAATGGGCTGAGAGGTAGATGTGGCCCAGGCAGGAGTAATGGTAGATATAAGGCCAGACAAAGAAGAAGCATCCCCCTCTGGCACTGTGAGAGCCAGCACAGAGCCACGAGTGCCCCTCCTCCCCCATACACACACACACACACACCTCTGCCCTGGGGCTCAGAGAGAGCCCTGCCTGTGTTGTCTGGCAGGTCTCCAGACCTCTGGCTTAGGCATCCTCACAGCTCCTGCTTCTTAAACTCTGCCTCGGAGAGCACTCCGTTCTTTGTCACACCACTGGTGGGAGACACGCTTTAGGACTGCCTCTGTGCCTCTGTCACGCCAGGCAGGGCCCATGGGGAAGCACGAGGTCGGTCAGGAGGCAGAGAGCGTGGGGAGCGTGGACGGAGCCTGTGAAGTTTACCAGGAAGGATGGCCAGGCAGGCCAGGCAGACTTACAATTGGCTAGTTTGAGTAACTGGATAATTTTAATGATGTTGACAGCTTCTGTTTTCCTCAGGGACCTCGCCCTCCTTTTTCACATACTTATGCCCGCCACCTTCTCCCCCTCCTCCCTACCCAGACGCACCCATGGTCTCCGCCTCTGATCTTCATTCGTTGAAAGTCTGTTGCCTCTTTCCCAGATCTTTGAACTTCATGAGCGCTAACTTTTCTTAGGAGAGTGCTATTGAGGAGGAAATGGAGAAACTAGAGCTGATACATGGGGCGGAGGGAAACTGTTCCACTGGAGGAGGAGGAAGGGAGTATTGAGGGAGTCCCGAGGCTCCGGTGCAGGACCTTTGGGGCCTTAGACGCCGAGAAGCCTCCGTTGGCTTCCTTCTGGCCACGGGAGCCGCCCAGCCCTCAGGCCGCCACGGAGGCCGAGGCTGTCTCTGGGAGGTGGTCCGGCAGGGTCTGCCCGGCGCTGTCGGTGCGAGGAGGTTCAGAGCGTCCGTGAGGCTGCTCAGGGGGCTTCTGCCGCTCATTCCACATCTGGATCAGAGCCCTGTGGCCATCCTGGCCCACGGGACACCAGTGTATGCCGCGTAACAAGGGGCCTCCCTTAGAGGAGCCAAGAGCTGACAGAGCCCACCCTCTGGGGCCGGGTCCCACATGGACCCGCGCTGTGTGAACCGGCCACGCCCCCGCTTTGGTAAAAGCCGTCTCCTCGGGCAGGTCGGTGTCTTGCTGGGAGGAGGCCGGGAGGTGCCGGGGTGGCCACGGAGGCATGGCTCTCGGGTCAGCCAGGGCAGCGGCGCCTGCTGTTCCTGCCTCGGGGAGCAGCTCCCTCAGAGCCCCGTGGGGAGGGTCCCAGGCAGGCAGGACAGTCCCCCCGTGTCCCCGCAGCCCCTGTGCCCCAAGGAGCTCTGGCACTTCGTGCACCAGTGCTACGGCAGCGAGCTGGGCCTGACCAGCGACGACGAGGACTACGTGCCCCCGGACGACGACTTCAACACGATGGGGTGAGAGGCGGCGGGTGGGCCTCGGCGAGGGCGGGGCCGCGGGCGGGGCCGCGGGGGGGGGGGGCGGCCGGAGGAAGTGAGGGGGAACCGGAAGGCCTCCCTCCAGGGCGGAGGAGCAGGAACAGGTCTGGGCGGGTTGGACAGAGGCGAATAGGAAGGCCGGGCAGGGGTCAGCAGGCAGGTTCTCGGCCGGGGCCACTGAGATGCCGTCGGTAGTCAGGGCGGGCGAGAAGGCCGCTGTAGATGGGGGTGATATCTGACTTCAGTCCCAGCAGGGCCCCTCGGCTCCTGGGGTGAACATGGAGCACGGGGGGCGGGCAGACGCGCGGAGGCGGTTGGGGCATGAGATCGGAGATGAGACGTGATGGTGTTTGGACCGGGAGGTACAGTGGGACAGAGGTGGGTGGTCGGTGTGTGCTGAAGGTAGAACAGAGGCTGCTGAAGGATGTGCTGATGGGCCGAAAGGGAGCCGCAGGGGGCTGTGCGTTTCCCTCGGACTTCCCAGCGGGAACGAGAGGGCCGCTCCAGACGGGGTGGACGGTAATAGGGAGCACACCTTGGGGGGAGAAGCGGGAGCATGGTGTCAGGCAGCCTGAGGTTGAGGTGACTGTTTCCAAGGGGAGGCGGCTCGCGGGCGTCTGTGTGAGATGCGGGGTTCGCTGGGCGGTGGCGAGGGACATGGGAGCACCGTGGGCAGCCCTGAGCTCAGCGGGAGCCCCGCGACCGAGCCCGTGTGGGAAGGAGTTCGAGGACTGGGCCTGGGGAGACTCGCCGAGGAAGGAGCTGCTACAGAGATCGTGGGAGAAGCTTCAGTGAGGCGGGAGGGGCACGGAGCTCCGTCCTGGAAGCCGAGGGAAGGGGCTGTGAGGAAGCCGAGGGAAGGGGCTGACAGGGTGTCATTGTCGCGTGCTGGCGGAGAAGGAAGGTGGGACTGCGGAGGAGTTTGGGGTGGGCAGAGGCGGCGGTGGGGAGAGACCCAGAGACCTGGCTCGGTGCGGTGTCAGGCCTGGGCCTGAAGAACCTGAGCTTCTGGGACGTGCGCGTGGCTGTCTGTAAATGCCTCTGAGGACTCACGCGGACGCACCCGAGGAGGCCCTGTGTGAGGTGTGGGTCTGATGTCGTGGCGACAATTTCTCCCTTCTTCGAGGCGTGTGGCATGTCCGGGGTGACTACAGGGCGCCCACCTTTAGCTCAGGAGGTCCCCGCAGGTGCCCAGGGCCAGGAAGTGGGCCAGCGGCGGTCGGCATCCCCAAGGCACTCACTCTGAGCTCTGTCCCCGCCGCTGTGGGGAAGGGGGAAGAGCGTGTACGCTCAGAGCAGGGTGTGGTGCAGGTGGTCAGGTTGGGACGGGATGGGGGGGGTGTAGGGGGACAAGGGAAAGGGGAGGGGGGATAGTTCAAGACAAACAGTGGTCCTCCTTTGGTAGGGGTCAGTCTGTGGAGGGAGCACGGAAAGGTGCTTTGGAGCCAGAAGGTTGACGGCGGCTGGTATAAGGTGGGGAGGAGGTGTAGGGAGGTGAGTGGGGCGGGGTCGCTGGAGGAGGATCAGAGGAAAGCAGAGAGCAGGAAGGGCCGTCCTGGAGGATGGGCAGGTCTGGTTCTTAGAACAGCTTGTCCCTGAGCTCAGCACGGCGTGGTGTCTTCCAGCTACTGCGAGGAGATCCCCGTCGAAGAGAACGAAGTGAACGACAGCTCGTCCAAGAGCAGCATAGAGACCAAGCCGGACGCGAGTCCACAGCTGCCCAAGAAGTCCGTCACCAACAGCACGCTGACGTCCACCGCCAGCAGCGAGGCCCCCGTCTCGGTACGCGAGCCCTGCCCCCTCCGGGCCCGGTCCTGGCCTCGCTGGCCAGCGGGGCCTGGGCGTGGGCAGGGGCAGGGCGGCACTGCAGGCAGCTATTCAGGAGGCCGGAGAGACGGGCGCACTCCACCGACGGGGTGGCCCGGCATTGGTGCCGGGTTCTCGGTGTCTCAGGTGACAAGTTGTCTGGTTTCTGACAGATGAAAACCACCCACGTTCACCGCGTGAGCTTTGCTCGGTGGACGCCGGTCCAGCCCCTCCGGGGAGAGCTGTGCGGTCTTGTGTTCACCGCCTTGATCTGAAAGTACCTGAATATAAGACTGCTAGAGGCCCTGCGCACAAAATTGGTGCACGGGGAGGACGGGGGGCAGGGGGGACTGTGTCCCTCAGCCCAGCCCATACCCTCTCCAATCTGGGACATCTCTCTCACAATCCAGGACTGCTGGCTCCCAACTGCTCGCCTGCCTGCCTTTCTGATTGCCCCTAACCACTTCTGTCTGTCAGCCTGATCACCCCCTAACCACTCCCCTGCCAGCCTGTTTGCCCCTAACTGCCCTCCCCTGCAGGCCTAGGTCCCTCCCAACTGCCCTTCACTGCAGGCCTGGTCACCCCTAACTGCCCTCCCCTGCAGGCTTGATCACCCCCCAACTGCCCTCCCTTGCAAGCCTGGTCCCTCCCAACTGCCCTCCCCTGCTGACCATCTTGTGTCCACATGGGAGCAGCCATCTTGTGTACATATTACTCTTTTATTAGAGAGGATAGAGGGTCCTCGTGAAAGAGCCGAGGACAGGAGCCGCGTGCGTGCATAGCGTGTCTCCTGGCCTAGGGCGAGAGCCTCATTCCTTTCCTGCCAAGTCCGTTTTCCTCGGGTTCATCTGTTCCCGCCCTGGACTCGTGGGAAGATGAATAAAGAATGTGTGAAGTCCTGATCAGGTTTCTCAGTGGTTAGAGCGTTGGCTGCACCCCAGAGGGCTGTGGGTTCGATTTCCCGGTCCAGAGCATGTCCCTGGGTTGCAGGTTTGATCCCCGTCCTCTGCTGAGGAGTGTCCGTGAGGCAACCAGCCGATGTGTCTCTCTCACATCAAAGTCTCTCTCTCTCCCCTCGCCCTTCTCTCTCTGGGGGAAAATCATTGGGAAAATCTCCACTCCTTGAGCAAGGATTTAAAGATGCTCACGGAGCCTTTGAGCCTCTTGGAAACAGGCCCCCGGGAGAAGCAGGCCGACGCTGTCCTGTCGCAGCGGTGTGCTCGGGTTTGGGGGGAGTGGGGTGGCAGAAGGAGCCACACTGCCCCTCCTGCTTGCTGTGCCCTGTGGTGGCCAGCAGGGGCACCTGGCCCTCTCCTCGCCTCCACGCAGGGCGGGGCAGACCCAGGGCCGGATGCCAGCCTGGCCGCTGCTGCTGCTGCTGCTGCTGCTGCGGACGGGCGGGGAGCTGGCCCAGCTTCCGTCGGTGACGCTCTGTCTCCACCCAGGTCGACGGGCTGCCCCTGGAGGAGGCGCTGGACGGCGAGGGGCCGCTGGAGAAGGAGCCGGCCATGGACAGCGTCCTCGCAGAGAAGATGGAGATGCTGGCGCCGGTGAGCTCCCCTTCGCTGGACCTCAACGACAACGAGGACCTCCCGACCGAGCTCAGCGACTCCTCCGACACCCACGATGAAGGTGGGCAGGTGGGCGCGGGCCTTCCCCGCTCCTGTCCGTGCTCCCCGCTCCGTGCTCCCCGCTCCGTGCTCCCTGCTCCATGCTGAGGGCCAAACAGGTGGTGCTCTGTGCTCCCTGCTCCGTGCTCCCCGCTCCGTGCTCCCCGCTCCGTGCTCCCCGCTCCGTGCTCCCTGCTCCGTGCTCCCCGCTCCGTGCTCCCTGCTCCGTGCTCCCTGCTCCATGCTCCCCGCTCCATGCTCCGTGCTGAGGGCCGAACAGGTGGTGCTCCGTGCTCCCCGCTCCGCGCTCTGTGCTCTGTGCTGAGAGCCGAACAGGTGGTGCTCTGTGCTGAGAGCCGAACAGGTGTCCCCAGGCGGAGGCCCGGGTCGCCACTCCGGGCGGAAGGCTGGGGGGCAGCAGAGCCGTTGAAAGGCATGTTGGTCATCAGCACGGACCCTCCTTGGGGGCTTCCCTGCAGGAACTGTGTCGTTCCCGCTGTCTCTGTTTGCTCAGGACAGTGCCTTGTCCTGCTCCCCAGTCCCGTGGCTCACTTTACCCCTGTTGGCACTGGCTGGCCCTGAGCGAGTCCCTGCCAGCGTGTCCCTCCCAGCGGGTGGGTCTGCAGCCACGGGAAGCACAGCAGCCAGCGCGCTGCACTCGGAGGCAGTCGCTTGTCATAGGAACGTGCTGTAGAGCCTGTGGCGGGATCTGAGACTCCGGACCCTGCCCTCCGCTAAGGTCCCTCAGAGAATAGCCCTCATTCCTCCCGCTGGCTGCCTCCCGCTGGCCATCTCCCGCTGACCATTTCCTGCTGGCCATCTCCCGCTGGGGCCGCCTCCCGCTGGCCGCCTCCCACTGGCCGCCCACTGGCTGCCTCCCCCTGGCCGCCTCCCCCTGGCCGTCTCCCGCTGGCCGCCTCCCGCTGGCCGCCTCCCGCTGGCCATCTCCCGCTGGCCATCTCCCGCTGGCCGCCTCCCGCTGGCCGCCCACTGGCCGCCTCCCGCTGGCCGCCTCCCGCTGGCCGCCCACTGGCTGCCTTCCGCTGGCCGCCTCCCGCTTGCTGCTGCTTGGGTCCGGGCGAGCCAGGCACAGTCTTCAGGGGCGTGGCTGGTGGTTTGTGTGCCTCGTGGAGCAGTGGCCAGTGCTGACCTGGTGAGCAGCTGGAGACAGTGTGCATTCACCGCCGTGGTGTCTGCCGGGGCTACCCCGTGGCCTTCTCTCCAGTGCCTGGTTCCCTACCCCCGTGGCCTCCTCACCGGTGCCTGGTTCCCCACCCCCGTGGCCTCACCAGTGCCTGGTTCCCCACCCCCGTGGCCTCCTCACCGGTGCCTGGTTCCCCACCCCCGTGGCCTCACCAGTGCCTGGTTCCCCCCCCTGTCCCGGGGGCGGGCCCGGCGAATGCCCGGTGACAGGGCCGCTGGTGTAAACTGACAGCAGATGCTCTCTCCCATACCGTCCTGGGCTCGGCCCTGTGGCCCCTCAGGGTCTCCGGGCACCTGAGCCCGTACGTCAGCCCTGCAGGCGCAGTCATGGCTACGGGCGCCCAGGCCTCGCCCTCAGCCACGTTCTCCTGGAGCAGATGGGAACTCCAGGCGTTTAAAGTTACCGCCCACCTGCCAGGGCTCAGGGGCTGAGCGTCAACCTGGGGACCAGGTCACAGTTCGATCCCGGGTGGCACACATGCCCGGGGTGCAGGCTCCATCCCCGGTAAGGGGGTGGGGGGGGGTGCAGGAGGCAGCGGATCAAGGATTCTCTCTCGTCATTGACGTTTCCATCTCTCCCTCTCCCTCTCTTAAAAATGAATGAATGAATGAATGAATGAATGAAAGAAAGTGATTGAAATCGTGGAGACTTGCTGCTGATGGAAGGAGAGGAGCTAGCGATCACGGCCTGCAGAGCCGGCTCAGACACCTACACAAACGGATGGCTGCAGGGGGGTCGGCTCTGAGCACCTCTGCCGTGGCCGTGCCATTCCGTGGCCGTGCCATTCCGTGGCCGGGCCATTCCGTGGCCGGGCCATTCCGTGGCCGGGCCATTGGCCAGCGCACAGACGCGATGGCCGGTCCTCCGGGCCCTGCCAGCCCGGGAAGGAGCCAGGTGCCAGGTTTCAGTTGGAGAGACCTTTGTGAGGAGCGTGAAGCGTAAAAGCGAAGGGTACATCCCGAACTCGCCTAAGGGCTGGTGAGCGGACTGGCATCAGAGCGAGCGGCTCCACGGGCTCCTCGCCCGCGGCGGACATGCTCCGTGGCCCCACCGCCTCACGCTCCGTCCCCGCTCTGCAGGGGAGGCCCAGGCCTTCTTCGAGGACCTGAGCGGCCGGCAGTACGTGAATGAGACCTTCAACTTCAGCGTGGACAAGCTCCGCGACCTGCTGTTCACCGACTCGCCCTTCCAGCGCGACTTCATGGAGCAGCGGCGCTTCTCAGGTGCCTGTCCCGGCGGGGCACGCCCTCCCAGCACCACCGCCCCTCTCCCCCACCTCCCTCCCCTCTCCCCCACCACCACGCTCCCCTCTCCCCACCACCACCTCCCCTCTCCCCACACCACCCTCCCCTCTCCCCCCACTACCCTCCCCTCTCCCCCTTCTCCCCCCACCACCACCCTCCCCTCTCCCCCCACCACCACCCTCCCCTCTCCCCCCACCACCACCCTCCCCTCTCCCCACCACCCTCCCCTCTCCCATCACCACCACCTCCCCTCTCCCTCACCAACCTCCCCTCTCCCCCACCACCACCCTCCACTCTCCCCCACCACCCTCCCCTCTCCCATCACCACCACCTCCCCTCTCCCCCACCTGCCTCCCCTCTCTCCCACCACCCACCCCTCTCCCACCGCCACCCTCCCCTCTCCCCACCACCACCCTCCCCTCTCCCCACACCACCTCCCTCCCCTCTCCCCCCACCTCCCTCCCCTCTCCCCCACCACCCTCCCCTCTCTCCCCACCTCCCTCCCCTCTCCCCCCTCTCCCCCCACCATCACCCTCCCCTCTCCCCCCACCACCCTCTCCTCTCCCCCAACCACCCTCCCCTCTCTCCCCACCTCCCTCCCCTCTCCCCCCACCACCCTCCCCTCTCTCCCCACCTCCCTCCCCTCTTCCCCCTCTCCCCCCACCACCACCCTCCCCTCTCCCCCCACCACCACCCTCCCCTCTCCCCCACCACCACCCTCCCCTCTCCCCCCCACCACCCTCCCCTCTCCCCCCACCACCACCCTCCCCTCTCTCTCCACCACCCTCCCCTCTCCCCCCTCTCCCCCCACCACCACCCTCCCCTCTCCTCCCACCACCACTCTCCCCTCTCTCCCCCCCACCCGCTCCTCTCTCCCCACCTCCCTCCCCTCTCTCCCCACCACCACCCTCCCCTCTCCCCCCTCTCCCCCCACCACCTCCCTCTCCTCTCCCCCCACCACCCTCCCCTCTCTCCCCCACCTCCCTTTTCTCTCTCCCCACCACCACCCTCCCCTCTCCCCCCACCACCACCTCCCCTCTCCCCCACCACCACCCTCCCCTCTCTCCCCATCACTTCCTCCCCAGGCCACTCGCCCATAGGGCTCTGCCCCTCCCGCCCAGGGCTGCAGGGTGGGCTTGCCCACCAGGTGCCCGGCCCAAGGGCTTGCAGAGGTCAAGGCCGCAAGGGCACCTGGCCAGGAGCACGCTGCATTACCGTCCAACGCTCACACCGGCCCTGCATGTTGTGGTCCTCACCGTGCCCTCGGGACACGGACTCGGGCTGTTAGGACCTTGCCCGGGGCCATGCAGCTAAGACGGGCTGAGCCAGGCCTCGAACCCGGAGTCCCGGGGCCATGCTTCTTGCCTGCCTGCTCCTGTCTCCTCCCTGCGCCCTGTCCTGGCCCACAGAGCTGCTGAGCCCAGGCAGCCTGCTGCGGAGGGGAGGGCACGGGGGCGTGGCCGGAGGAGAGCCTGTTCCCAGGCCCCAGGCCCTCGGCTCAGGCCGGCCAGTGTGCCGGCCTCCCTGTGGACGGCCCGAGACTCTGCCCGCTGTCCGGGAAGTCAGGGTGCAGAGCCGGGGCACAGCCTCGGCGATGCCCAATGAGCCTCTTTCTGCCCGGCTCCCTCCTCCCGGCCCCCGGCCCCCGGCCCCCGGGCCCCGGGCCCCGGGCCCCGGCCCCTGGCCCCCGGGCCCCGTGCTTCCTCGCGAGGCCAGCGGTTCAGCAGGGTCAAGAGAAGCTCCCTGGAGGGAGAGCCACTGGGGGCACCCCTTTCCCTCCTCACCCCAGGCTCTCGCTCCCCAGACATCGTCTTCCATCCCTGGAAGAAGGAAGAGAATGGGGACCAGAGCCGCCTGATCCTTTACACCATCAACCTCACCAACCCTCTGGCTCCCAAAACGGCCACCGTCAGGGAGACCCAGGTGCGGCAGCGGCAGCGGGCTCTGTCCCGGGGGCGGGGGCGGGGGGCCAGGTGTGCGGGCGGCGGGGGGCTCTGTCCGGGGGGCGGGGGACCAGGTGTGCAGGCGGCGGGGGGCTCTGTCCGGGGGGCGGGGGGCCAGGTGTGCAGGCGGCGGGGGGCTCTGTCCCGGGGGCGGGGGGCCAGGTGTGCGGGAGGCGGGGGGCTCTGTCCCGGGGGCGGGGGGCAGGTGTGCGGGCGGCGGGCTCTGTTCCGGGGGCGGGGGGCAGGTGTGCGGGCGGCGGGCTCTGTCCCGGGGGCGGGGGGCAGGTGTGCGGGCGGCGGGGTGTGGTCACTGCTCAGAGACCGCCTCTCCAGCGGCTTGGGGTCCTCGTGGGACGTGGGGTCGGCGGGAGCCAGGGCGGGGGCGGAGGCGGGGGCGGGGGCGGGGGCGGGAGCCAGGGCGGGGGTGGGCCCTCCCCGTGCTGCTCCTCGGCAGCGTGTCCCTCCCGCAGACCATGTACCAGGCGAGCCAGGAGAGCGAGTGCTACGTGGTGGACGCCGAGGTGCTGACCCACGACGTGCCCTACCACGACTACTTCTACACCCTCAACCGCTACACGCTCACCCGCGTGGCCCGCAACAAGAGCCGGCTCAGGTGCGCCCGCTCCGCGGAGGCTTCTGGAAGGACCTCATTGGCTCCCGAGGGAGGAGGGGGGTGAGGAGAAGGGGGGAGATGGCCCTGCAGGCCGTCCTGTTCCCCGCTTCTTCCCGGTGCTCCCGGCCCTCCGCCTGAGGGCCGTGCTCGCCTCGCCTGCCCGCCACGCGGGGCGTGTCCGGCGCAGCGCGCACAGCTGCTGCTCGGCCTGAGGTTCACGGTGCCGCCTCTACAGCGTATTCTTTAGGACGGCGGAGGAGGTGGGCTCGCCCCCTGTTCAGATGAAACACAAGGGTTGTAAGTGAACGAGTTTCACCAAGAGCCAGGTCCCCCATGAGCCTGAGACCAGCAACCCTGGCTCCTTCCACAGGGCACCACCTGCCACTCCCGCCCCCGCACGCCCGGGCCCCTCTGCTCCAGCCGGACACAGACCGGCACCCTCAGGGTGCACACGCCTTTCTCCTCCTCCCCCTCCGCCTCCGTCCTCCTCCCCATCCGCCTCCTCCCCTCCACTTCCCTCCTCCCTTTGCTCTCCTGCCCCCCTCCGCACAGTGTCCGGGTCCTCCACTCCGGCCGCCTCAGAGAAGCTTCTGAATGGCTGTTCTTTCTGTGTGGTTCTCGCCGTGGTAGCATGTTCCCCAGATAGAACATTCCAGAGGCTCCCAGCCCAGTGAGCAGGTGGTAGGCGGCGATGGCTGCAGGCATGCAGGCTCCCTGAGGGGCAGAGGGCAGGCAGGCGGCCGGAGCAGCACAGCTGGCAGGGAGGGGGGCAGAGGAGGGTGAGCTGGGAGCGCAGGCCGGCCTGCGGGAGGCTGCCTGGGGGTGGGAGGAGGCGGAGGGGGCAGCGCAGCGGCCGGTGCTCCCCCAGGAGGAGTGAGGACGCAGAGCCCGGGGAGGAGAGGTGGCCATGCTGGCGGGCTGCTGGGCACCCTCGGGCGCCCCTGGAGGCTGAGGCAGCACGAAAGCCCTCTGGGCCCAGGTTGGAGCCTTGCCAGCCTTGGTCTGCCAACTCCTGACGCTCAGCGTGGCTCCTGCAAAAGCGAGGCTGCACCCTGGTGCCGCTGACCTCGGAGGGTGGCCGGGGTGATGGTGCGGGTGCCGGAGGGAGGCCAGGTGATGGTGCGGGCACCACTGACCTCGGAGGGAGGCCGGGGTGATGGTGCGGGTGCCGGAGGGAGGCTGGGGTGATGGTGCGGGTGCCGGAGGGAGGCCGGGGTGATGGTGTGGGTGCCACTGACCTCGGAGGGTGGCCGGGGTGATGGTGCGGGTGCCGGAGGGAGGCCGGGGTGATGGTGTGGGTGCCACTGACCTCGGAGGGTGGCCGGGGTGATGGTGCGGGTGCCGGAGGGAGGCCGGGGTGATGGTGTGGGTGCCGGAGGGAGGCTGGGGTGATGGTGTGGGTGCCGGAGGGAGGCTGGGGTGATGGTGCGGGTGCCGGAGGGAGGCCGGGGTGATGGTGCAGGCGCCACTAGGACCTGGGCCAGCCGACTTTCCCAGGAAGCCTGACACCTGGCCTGCCGCAGGGTCTCCACGGAGCTGCGCTACCGCAAGCAGCCCTGGGGGCTGGTGAAGACGTTCATCGAGAAGAACTTCTGGAGCGGCCTGGAGGACTACTTCCGGCACCTGGGTGAGCGGCCGCTCCAGGGCGGGGGGAGGCGGGGGAGGCCGGGGGGGGGGGGGGGGGAGGCTGTGGGGGGCCGGGGAGGCCCCGGAGTGCCTGCCAGTGCGGCTCCTGTGTGAGCACCTGCCCTTTCCCACCGCCGCCTGCTCCTGTGCGTGGCCGGGCCTGTGACCCGCAGGCGCCCAGGCCTGGCGCAGGGAGGGTGCTGGCACAGGAAGCGTGTGCGGGCCCGGGGGGAGGGGGGCGCCCCACGCTGTGCCCCGAGGTGCGGGTGCCGGGAGCCCGTGGCCACTGGAGCCAGAAGAGGGCGGGGCTGGGCCCCCCAGGCCCCTCGGGTCCACACCCAGAGGACAGGATCGGAGGAGCTTCCTTCCGAGGCCTTGCTGGGCGCAGACAGTGGCGGGGGGGCGGGGCGGGGGGCAGTGGGCGGGCACCACTGACGGCTCTGTCCTGGCAGAGAGCGAGCTGGCCAAGATGGAGAGCACCTCCCTGGCCGAGATGCACCGACAGCCCCCCAAGGAGAAGGCGGGCAAGGCCCCGGCCGTGCGGCGGAGGAAGCGCCCCCACGCCCACCTGCGGGGCCCTCACCTGGAGGAGGTGCTGAGCCCCGTCACCACGCCCACCGACGAGGACGTGGGCCGGCGCGCCAAGCACGTGGCAGGTGGGTGCGGCCGGCCTGTGCCCCGTCCTCGCTGCATGTCCCCCTTCCTCCCTGCGCGTCCCCCGTCCTCCCTGCGTGTCCCCCGTCCTCGCCACGTGTCCCCGTCCTCCCTGCATGTCCCCCGTCCTCCCTGCGCGTCCCCTGTCCTCCCTGCACGTCCCCCGTCCTCGCTGCATGTCCCCCGTCCTCCCTGCGTGTCCCCCGTCCTCCCTGCGTGTCCCCCGTCCTCCCTGCGTGTCCCCCGTCCTCGCCGCGTGTCCTCCCCACGTGTCCCCGTCCTCCCTGCGTGTCCCCCGTCCTCCCCACGTGTCCCCGTCCTCCCTGCGTGTCCCCCGTCCTCGCTGCGTGTCCCCTGTCCTCCCCGCGTGTCCTCACGGCGCACATGACAGAGTTTCTCTTTTACTCAGTGACTTGAATACTCACGGTGCCTGACCCGCCGTAACCCTCCGGGGACAGGATAGCGCTGTTGCCACAACAGCACGCGGAGCTCCTGTCTGTCGCCCCCGGGTTCTGGCGCGGCCAGTGTCTGCTCAGCGGTGGGGACGGTGGGACGGTGACGGCCTCTGTCTTCCCGCAGGTTCCACGCAGACACGGCACATCCCCGAGGACATGCCCAACGCTTTCCACCTGCAGAGCGTGTCCAAGCTGCTGCTGGTTATCAGCTGTGTGTAAGGATCCCAGCCCTGCCCTGCCCACGGCCCTCTCCCCCTGCCCCCTCCCCCCTGCCCACTGCCCCCTTCCCACGGCCGCCTCTTCTCCCCCTGCCCCACTGCCCCCTCTCTCCCAGCCCCACAGCCTCCTCTCCCCCTGCCTCCTCTCTCCGTGCCCCACTATTCCCTCTCCCCCTGCCCCACTGTCCCCTCTCTTCCAGCCCCACTACCACCTCTCTCCCTACCCCCTCCCCCCCTGCTCTCCTGCCCCCTTTCCCTCAGCCTTACTGCCCCCTCTTCTCCAGCCCCAATGCCTCCTCTCCCCCAGCCCCACTGCCTGCTGCTGCCCTGAGGTTCTGTCCTCTCGCCTCTCTGCGGGTCAGTCTCTGTCTGTCATCTCTGGCCTTGGCTGCTTCTCCGTGGGTTGCTCTGTGCCAGGCCTCCAGGAGGCACCAGGGCCTCTGGAACTCAGTCTCGGGTGCTGCAGAGAGGAAGCTTCCAGCTGCCACAGCCTGGCCGAGACTCACAGGGACTGTCCCCGAGCACGCTCGGAGCCCTCCCTGCTGGGAGAGGCCTGGTGTCTGCTCTGTGCCCGGGGCCCACACGCTGGCAGGGGGGTGGCCGAGCAACACCAATGGCAGCCCAGGAAGGGGAGCATCTGTACCGACTGCCATGCGCCCGGAGATGGTGGCTTGGTAGTTGGCACCGGAGGTGCTGGGCTGGGGGCCGTTAGTGGACAGCAGGGGAGCCGGAGGGGGCAAGCACGCTATTGGATGCCAAGGCCAGGCCTCCGAACCGGCTGGAGCGGGAGCAGCCGGGCGGGCGGGCGGGCGGTGAGAGCAGGCAGCTCCTCCTTGGCAGCCGCCTGCGCCGGCCCTTCCTGCTGGCAGCGCTGTGAGGGTGTGGGCGCGGTGAGGTGGGGGGGGGGGTGCAGCAGACGCCGCTCCACCAGCCCTTCAGCAGGCACTAGGACCCAGCCCCGCCCTCAGGAGATGCGGGAAGAAGCCCGGGAACGGGTGGGATTGGCATTTGGAAAAGCTGGCCCCTCGGGTGGCACTGGGATGCCTGAACCAGAGGAGAGGCCTGGGGGCGAGAGGCCGGGAGGGGGGCCGCAGGGGGGCCGGCAGGAGGGCGGGGGGGGGGGGGCGGTGACCGGGAGGGAGGGTAGGCCTATGGCTCCCCCGTCTGTGGATGGGGTGTCACTATCAGGAATCTGGAGCCGGTGAGAGGTGTCCGCCCGTCCGGACGCCCCAGAGCCCCTGTGGTGTGGCTAGATCACCGGATAGAGTGAGAAGGGGAGAGGACAGACCGGGGCCCAGCAGGCCAGGAGCCATGGGCCGAGACGGGTCTGAGTTAGAGAAGTTATTCTAACATTCATAGCCGGCACTTTTCCCATAAGAACACCCAGTAGAGAGAGAATGTAGACCGGGAATTCTTCTGGCTGGGCCTAAGAATGGGGCCAAGATGTTTTACCACCATAAATACAAGGCAGCGGAAAGCCAGTAAGATGGACTCAGCGTCAGCACTCTGCAGCTACCCGCGCAGCCGTGGGAACCCAGGCTCCGACACTGGGTTTGTAGATGGAAAGCAGCCGCAGGGCGGTTCTGGGGGACCTCGGTTTGCACGGGGACAGGACGCTGTGTGAGGGGAGACGGCCCACTCGCCGCACAGACTGTGTGGCTGGGTGTCGGGGGCTCCGGGCTTCGCCACTGCACAGCCATCGGCCTCCGTGGGCGGCCTCCGTGGGCGGCGCCGGCGTGGCCTCCGTGGGCGGCTCCGGCGTGGCCTCCGTGGGCGGCGCTGGCACTCTGAGCCTCACTGAGCACAGCCCCGGGCAGCTGCCAGCCGGTGCAGCTCCGCCGGAAGGGGTGCAGGCCGGCCGCTGTCATGCGGCAGGAACCGGGTCTGAGAGACTGGGAGCCTGAGAACTTCACCGAGAGCCTCGGGGATTGGCAGGTGCCAGTGGGAAGCACGAGTGAGAAGTTCAGCCACTGACATGCACACACGTGCACACATGTACACACACATGCACACGATACACACTCTTGTAGTTTGTGAGGTCGAAGGCACGGCATAGGCTTTCTTGTGGTCTGGTCCGTCTGTCCCTCTGTCTTCCCACCGCCCACCTCCTCCCTGCGGCGCCCGCACCTCCTCCTCCAATGGAGACGCCGCCTGTAGGGGGCCGTGTGCAGGCCGCTCGGCCGCCCTCTGGTCCACGCAGCGGCCAGCCCAGGCGTCCTTGTCCCGCAGAGCGAGCTGGCTCTGAGCGGCGGGCAGGCTTGGTCAGCGCTGGTCTGTGAAGGGGCGAGCCAGGGTGTGCAGCGCTCTGCGCCTGAGTCTTCCTCTCCTTGTCCGGGAGCGGCTCAGGAGGGCCTCCAGGCAGCCCTGAGGCCCGGGAGGAGTTTACCTCCCGGTGCCGCCCTCCCCACTGGCCCTCCGGCTCCAGGGCTGTCCTGCCACCCCTCTCCCTGCAGCCTGGCACTCACCCTCCTGGGGACCCCAGAAGGCCCTGGGGGCCCCTCAGGCCTGTGGCAGATGCAAGGGGCAGACTGCCCTCAGGCCAGTTCTGCCAGCGTCAGGAGGCCCCGGTGCAGAGCCAGGGTTCCCCCAAATTCCTCCTACGGCTCGCCTTCGCCTACTGGTGCTGACGTGGCTGCTGAAGGGGTCTCAGCCCCCTTATCGCCCTGGAAACTAAGGCTGAGTGCAGGTGCTCCCCGCACCCTCCTCCGGGGCTCGGAGGCCTCCCTCCCCGGCCGCCGCAGGCCCCCTGCCTCCGCGTAAGCGCAGTCTCTCCTCCCACACAGGTCTCTTAGCCGCCTGCTCCCCACTTCCCTCCCTGCTCCCATTAGGATCCGCTTCAGGTACTGGCTCTGGCGGCTTCCTGCACCCCCTCATCTCTCTCCTCTCCATCTGACCCCCTCTCCTCCCAGTGCCCTCACCCACACCTTTCCAGATGAGAATACCGCCCCCACTCTCCCCCCCACCCCCCACCCCTGACCCCGCTGCATCCTCCTGCTGCTCTCACTCGCTGCAGGGTTTCAGGGGACCCCCTAGCCAGGGACCGCAGCCTCTGGGTGGGTCCCCGCTCTCGGGGAGCGGGGAGCATCTCCCTCAGGTTACCGCTCATGGCTCCCCGTCTCTGCCCTAGCCTGGTGCTGCTGGTCCTCCTTAACGTGATGCTTTTCTACAAGCTCTGGACGCTGGAGTACACCACCCAGACCCTCACTGCCTGGCAGGGCCTGCGGCTCCAGGAAAGGTAACCACCCTCGCCGCCCCGCCCTGCCCTTGGCCAGGGCGTCCATAGCGTCTGCTCTGCTTCGGGGTGCGGGCCAGGGGCGAGGAGCGGAGGGCAGGCGCTCTGATGTGACTCTTTGTCCTTTAGGGGTCTGGGAGCACAGGACAGTCCACTGAGCATAACTCCAGCTGCTGGGGGACCCCTTCTCCCGCCCCACAGGTTGCCCCAGTCCCAGTCAGAGTGGGCCCAGCTCTTAGAGTCCCAGCAAAAGTACCACGACACCGAGCTCCAGCGCTGGAGGGAGATTGTCAAGTCCTCGGTGATGCTCCTGGACCAGGTGAGCCGCCCTCCCGCGTCTCCGGAGACCCCTCCTGTGTCCGGGGAAGTCGCCCTCTCCGCCGCCGCCACAGCTCACCCTCCCCGTCCTTCCTCTCTCGGGCCGTCTTTGTCCCACCGCTGAGCCATCCCTGCGTGAGCACGGTCAGGGCCAGTGGGGACACACGGTCAGGGCCAGTGGGGACACACGGTCAGGGCCGGTGGGGACACATGGTCAGGGCCAGTGGGACGCACGGTCAGGGCCAGTGGGGACGCACTGTCAGGGCCGGTGGGGACACATGGTCAGGGCCAGTGGTGTGCACGGTCAGGGCCGGTGGGTCGCACAGTCAAGGCTGGTGGGACGCACAGTCAGGGTGAGTGGGAGGAGTCAGCGGCTGCAGAAGTGGCGGCTCAGGGGCTCCTGAGGGCACTTGAATGCTTTGAGCGAGTTCTTAAAACAGTGACGCAGACCTCACGTCACGAAGACACGGGTGAAGGAGGGTGCGTGGCGGTCCCCGTGCCGCTCCCCGTGCTGATCGGCTGCGCCCTGCCTGCCTGAGGCTGCCCCTGCCTTAGGAGCCCAGCTTCCTGTGGCTCCCGGGCGTGGCAGGGTCCCCGCAGTAGGCGGGCGTGGCAGGCGCTGCAGGGCACCCCGCTGAGGGCACACCGGCTGAGGGCACCCCGGCTGGGGCGCTGTCTTGCAGATGAAGGACTCTCTCGTCAACCTCCAGAACGGCATCCGGTCCCGAGACTACCCCCCCGAGAGCGAAGAGAAGAGGAGCCGCTACCACTGACAGGCAGGAGCAGGCTGCCGGAGGCGTGTGCAATACGTGTACATAGACCTATAAATATATACATATATACATATATACATACAGAGTATAAATATATATTATATACAGATTTTAAAGAGACACCGCCTACGAACCAGGGAGCAGCCGGCCCGGCTCCTGCAGGGCCGGCGGGGCCGGCGGGGCCGAGGGGCAGGGACCGCCTCACCCCCGACGCTCCGTCCTCCGTCCTCCAGCCGCCCTGCCTCGCCGTGCCCTCGCCGGCCGTGGGGCTCCGAGGAGGGAAGCTTGAGCCAAAGTGAAGCCTGTGAAGAGGAGCCCAGGGGCGTGGCTCACGGTGCTTCATCCCCTCCCCCCCTGACTTGTCTCCACTGTACAAGGGGCTCTTCTTCCCGCCCGCGCGTCCTCCGGCGCTCTCTGGGGACGAGGAAGCATCGGACGGCAGCGCCCCCACGCTCCGTGCGCCCCGTGCGGACTGCAGGCCGGCGGAGCGGCTGCCGGGCAGCCTGCGGCTCTGCCGTGTTCGAAGGATGCTCCTCCTCCACCCGCACTCCTCCAGGCGCAGGTGTGCACCCAACAAGGGCTGGGAACGCCCCGCCCCGCCTGCCCTCCTCCGGCTCCTCCCAGGCTGGGCCTGGGCCGAGCGTCCCTGTTCAGTGCCTAAACCCTCCTTTTCCTCTGCCCGCACGTCGCCCCTGGCCGGGCGGAGTGTCCGATCCCGTGAGGTCTGTGTTTGTGGCTCCAGCACGCGGGTCTGTGGCGCCGGCCCTTCCCTCGCGCTGTCCGTGTCTGTCCGGAGAGGCTGGTGTTGTCGGGCCTCGGGGTGTGAGGGACGCGTGCGGGCAGTGCCGGCTGCAGCCTCCGGAGGACGCCGGTGACGGGAGCACCGAGCCAGCGGCATCGGCTGCCGGGACACCTGCTCGCTCAGGGAGACAGCACCCGGAGCCTCGCGCGGGAACAGCCGCCCGGGAGGGCTGGGTCCGGCAGAGGCTCGTGCATCTGGGCACGGGAAGGCCTTGTGGACTCTCGCCCTGCCCACGGCCACCCCGCGGGCCCGGTTCTCCTTCCCGGTGACTGTCCAGAGGGCTGCTGTCGCCGGAGCGGAGAGGAGGCCGCGGGCCAGGACCGTCCGTGCTCCGGGCCTCTCCGGACGGCTGCCGGGACCGCACACCGTCTGACTGTGGGACCCTCCTGGGCCCGCCTGCGGCCTTCATGCACTAACTGCTGCTCCACCCAACAAGGGGCCCGCCTTCCCAAGGAGGCAAGGAGGGCTCACCAGGGGCTCTGCGAGGCGCCCGCTGCAGGGCCGAGGAAGGAAGACTCCCCGTCCGCCCCGGAGGCAGCCATGTCCCTCCCCGCAGCGGCCTGAGCACCCTCCTGACAACGAGAGGCTGTTGGTGTTTGGGCCTGAGACTGTAGCCTCGCCGTCACGCACGGCGGGATGAGAAGACGGAGCTGTGCGTGCCAGGTCACACACACACACACACACACACACACCCGCACCCCGAGGAGCTGGAGAAGGCAGCGTGGGACCCGCCTCCCTTGGGTGTCAGTGGAGGGTCACAGCCAGGGCCACAGGCCGCTCTTGCCCGGGATGAACGGGAGGCCTGTGCCGGTGGGGCTCCGGCCGAGCAGTGGACTGCTGGGACCTGCCCAGGGCTGGCCCGAGGCCGGTCACCTCTGACTCTTAGAAGCAAAGCTGGTGCATCTCTGGTTTGTTCACACACGTTCGGTTGTCTTTGAACCGTGCCATTGTGAGGGTTCCCGGGGCCGTTGTGAGGGTTCCTGGGGCCGTTGTGGGGACACGGGAAGGGGGGGTGGGGCGGGTCGGCTGGGCCGGTGCTGGCAGGGCCTGGCTCCCAGCGCTGTGCGCTCCGACCTCTCGGCCCGTCCCAGGGCAGGGCGGTGGCGGAGGGAGGCTTGCTGGGATTGGGACCAGCAGGCAGTGCGTACACGCCACCGAGCTCGTGGGTGCTCTCTGTGCTAACGACGTCCTGATTTTAGACCACGAGGAAGCCAACAACTGCCCAGTCTCGTCCGGTCACCAGGGAAGAGAGGGCGCCACCGGGCGGGTATCTGGGCGAGAAACACAGCGCTCCGGCACCGCGGCCTGCAGCCAGCTCGGAGCCTGAAGGGCTCAGAGGAACCCGCTCCTCACGCGTCCTCTCTCCGTTCCACCGGCCACGCTGCTCCATCCTCCTGCTCAGTCCACACGGCGACCATCCGAGGCCGCGTCATCGTCGGAGGTTTGGTGACGTTGGCAGAGTCTGCACCTCACTCAGCTGACGTGGAGGGACTCCCGATGGCCGGGGAGAAGCCAGTTCTGCCTGCAGCGCTTGGCCTTTCCCGCCTGCGCCTGGGAAGGTCGCCCTCAGCGCTGGCGGCAGCGCGGGGCTCTCGGAAGGCGCACTGAGCTGGGAGCCGGGAGGCCGGCCGGGGTCCTGGCTCGGCGCTCGGACAAGCCGCTCTGTCCGCCTCTGAGCTTCCGCGTCCTGGTCTGCAGCAGGCCGGGGCTGCGCTGAGAGGGGCCCGCCTTGGCCTCTGCAGGGCCATGGGAGGCTGGCGGGGCTGGCGTTCTTGGACTCGGAGGGTCCCTTTGGGCAGAGCCCCCTGGTGCAGGTGAGCGGCAGGGCAGAGTCTGCGTCCTGGGAAATGCAGGCTGGCTGAGCTTCCTCTCTGGGCGAGGAGGGTCCGGGAGACTCGGGGCGGGGAGGAGGAAGAGGCAGAGCGTGGAGGCTGCCCCGGGCTGTGTCATCGAAGTGGTGGTGCTCCTTTGTCGGCCACCTTCCTCGCCTCCCCAGAGCTGCAGCGGAGAGAAGCACTCTGGTCCTTGCACTTCCCGAGAGCCATGGGCTGCCTAGGTCCTGGCATGGGGCACTGGGAGCCAGCAGGGGGAAGAGGGGAGCGGGGGGTGGGGTGAGGGACCTGGAGCAGTGCTTTGCCAGAAGCGGATCTCTCCGGTCCCGGCCAAGCTTAGACCAGGTCTGCAGTCGCTGGCAGCATCCCAGGCTGAAATCCCGGAGAAAGACGAGGGGAAGAGTCTGTGGACGTGTGTGGTCTCAGCTCTGCCCGTCCTCCTCCTCCCGCCCCCCTCCCTGCAGAAATGGCCTCCTCTGGCCCCCAGGCGGCAGGGCTGTGCTCTGGCTCCTGCTCCCCTCAGCCTCTGCCCTCCCTGCCCGCGCCGGCTCAGGACCTGAGCACCTCTCTCCCCAGCGCTCCTCCCCACCCCTGCCCCCAGCCTGTGGGACCATCATGCCATCGCCATGAGACATCTTTGACCTCATTCCCAGCCTGCCACAGGCTGGTCCCACGCCCCACTCTGCTTTTCTTCCAGAAGGTGCGCCTGGGCCCAGGGCGCCTCTCTGGAAGGCCATCCCCCCCCCCCCCCGCTCTCCTGGAGGGAGCAGGCACTTGCACGGATGTAACACGCTCCCCTCCGCCCCTGCCCAGCCTGTTACCTCACTGCTGCCCCTGTGGCTGAGGGCCTGCCAGCTCCGGCCGGTGTCCTGTGGGACAGCTCAGGGGCGTGGGCACTGCTTTCTGTGTGACCGGAGGCCTCAGAGGCCTGGGGGCGGGGGGAGCCATGGCTGCCGGTGAGAAGCGCCTTGCCTGCTGAGATGAGCTGATGCCAGATGATGGACACGTGGAGGCACAGGGGGCGTGGTTGGCTCTGCCCTGGGCCCTCCTCGCCTCCCAGCACGGCGAGACCCTGCAGCAGCCAGCTGGCGGCCACTGCTCCAGGCAGGACAGCGCCGTCGGCTGGCCCTGGTGTGGTGCCACGTGCTGAGGTTGTGAGTAGGAGCAACTGTTTTTGCCAACAGTGGTGTGAGGCTCCACACGTCTCTTCCCACACTCCAGAGCCAGCTGCTCTGCCTGGACCCGGTCATCTTCCCAAACCCATGGTGCTCCCCCCCGCCCCCCAGCTTCCAGGACCCCACTCAACCCAGATTCCAAAGGAGGGAGGGGCAGAGGCTGCGGCCTGGAGCGTGTGATGCGGGGCAGAGGGGGAGCCAGCGGGGGAGCCAGCGGGCTGGGCCGGGTGGGGAAGGCCGGTGGCAGCGAGTGACTGGCCGCCGTGTCCGGGTCTGTGACTGCACTTGGCCTGGCGCTGTGCGCGAGGTCTGAAAACACTGCTCGTACCTGGAACCATACGAGGCTTCCAGCCAAACCTCACTGTAAAGTAGCTAGAGCCACGGGAGTCTGTATGGATTAAAAGTACTGAGCTGCAAATACCCAGCGCCGAGTGTGGTTATTGCTCCTTCATCGGCGCTCAGCGTCCTGGTGGTTTCGGTCTTCCCAGCGGCGGTCAGGCATCTGTGTGGGCACACACACATGTCACACAGACACACACATCATACATGTCACACTGACACACATATCACCCACATCACACTGACACATATCACACACATCACACTGACACATATCACACACACGTCACACTGATACACACATCACACACACATCACACTGATACACACATCACACTGATACACACATCACACTGACACATATCACACACACATCACACTGATACACACATCACACTGATACACACATCACACTGACACACATATCACTCACATCACACTGACACACATATCACACACACATCACACTGGCACACATCACACACGTCACACTGATACACACATCACACACATCACACTGACACATATCACACATGTCACACAGACACACGTCACACACACATCACACTGACACATCACACTAACACATCACACACGTCACACTGACACACATCACACTGACACACACCACACATCACACTGACACACATATCACACACATCGCACTGACACATATGTCACACAGACACACACGTCACACACGTCACACTGACACACATCACACTGACACGTCACACACGTCACATTGACACATATCATACACATCACACTGACACATATCACACACAGCACACTGACACACACCACACATCACACTGATACACACATCACACACATCACACTGACACATAT